ACCTTGTCCCTTGTCAGCTCTACTATACACCTGGGAATTCTGATCATTCACATAAACTTATAGGACCACTATCTGCCAACCCTATATATGTTCTTGGATACACCCCCATTTCATAGACATACCTAATCGTTTAGCCTGTCCACCCATCTATCCATCCATATACCCATGTTTGCCAAGGCAGTAAATCTTCAAGGAAGTAGAATGCCCCATCTTCTTTCCGCAGAGCGGCTGGTAGGTTTGAACTGCCAACTTCCTGGTTAGCAGCTAAGTCCCTTAGGCAGTGTGCCACCAGAGTCAGATGGTATGTAGCAGGTTAATTCCCTCTTCAGACCTGCCTTCCATCAGTGAAAGAGGGTTGGACAGGCAGGCTCCAAGTGCTCCTCCAGTTCTAAAGTGCCATGATCTTATATCATCCTCAAATCATTCTATAACTCACACATTTATGAACAGTTTAAAATTAATTGGTTCTCTATTCTTGGAATCTGGTTTTTAAAAGTGCTTACATTAGGCTAGGCTTCTATAAATAAGTGAGCTTGTGAAGCACAAATTTAAAATTAAAAAAAAAAATTTCAAAGTACCCATTCCTATGAACTCTAATTTCTCGTATACTTCAGGCCAACCTGATTAAATAGACATAAATTATTCAGTTTTATTTATGGAAATCGCTTTTGCTGAGGCAGAGGCCATGTGGTGTAGCAGGAAGGACATCATTTTTGGCCAATACTCAGATTCTGGCTCTGACACTAAGTCGTTTTGCATCCTTGAGTAAATTGCTTAAACTGAACCTCAGTTTCCTCATCAATAAAGCGGAATAATAGCATCTACCTTGCAGAGGTGTAAGGTCTGGAAACACATAGCCTGGGGGCACACGGCAGCCCTTCAACAAATAAACAACAGGCCATCAAAAGCAGTGCGCTCACAGCAGCCTGTACTGCACGATAGAAATGACAAAGAAATGCCAAACCACAAAGCGGACTCAGGCGGTGCCACCTATGTGCCAGCAGCTCTCGATCGACTTTGCACATTAGAATCACCTGGGGAGTGGGGGTGGGGGTGGGGGTCCGGCCACACCCCACATCTTAATCAGAACCTCTGGGTGGGACCTAGGTGACTCCAACCTGCAGCCAAGGGGAAGATCTCCTGCCTTACAATCTAGCCTTTTTACGTCTCTCAGAATCCACACTTCCTGACCGGAAATCTATAGTATTCCAAAGGAAGCCTAGGAGTCATTAGGTTTTGGCATGTACATTAAGAAACCTGATGGTGTGTTTGAGGGGTGTGTCTAGCAGAAACAAGGTGCCAGAAAGCTAGTTAGCTGATAGAAAAATAGCTGAACCAAGAACTGCAGTGCACTAGGAATGCGCTCAGGACCGGCTTCAGGGAGCTCACCATGAATGTGATCAGGGTCATTAGGCAAAGTGCCTGGAATGCACAGGGAAAAACCACTTCCCAGTGCTGCCAGGAATGTTTGCAAGAGGTGGTGGCTCTGATACAGATTCTTGTTAGATCTGGACATGTAAAGACCCTAGGGGGCCATGGGTGGTGGTACTGTTAGGTGCCATCGAGTCAGACCCAACTCATAGTGACCACTCCTTGGGTTTCCGAGGTGGTATCACTATGGAAGTAGATTGCCCAGCCTTCCTTCTGAGGAGTGGCTGCTGGATTTGAACCGCCACCCTTCTGGTTAGCAGTCAAATGGCTTAGGCTACCAGGGGCTCCTTAAGGGACCATGGATAGGACACCTAATATGCTCCTAATCTGACGTACAGGAGCAATGAGAGCAGGTGGCACTCTGGAAGCTCAAGTTCACTTCCAGTTTCCACAGAATGCTGACAGAGACCATCCTTTTAAAGATGTGGGTGAAGGTTTACAGAGCAAATCCATTTTCCATATAGCAGTTCAAACACTTTCTTTCATCACATTGATTGGAATCCCCACAATGCAACAGCCTTTCTCCCACTTCCTCCCTGTGGTTAGCTTTTCCTTGTCTCCTTCTTTCCTATGCATTCCTGCCCTCTGAGTTATCTCCCTGTATAAATACTGCCCTTCTGATCTCCCATGGCTGATTGTTCTAGGGAGTGTATCTACCTGGTGTAAATGTTCACTCTATATGCCTGTTTGTCGTTTGGCTGGAAGCCACAAAGGTTCAATTCCAGACCAGAAGAGTAACTAGGGGCATAGTCTCAGGGGTTTCACCAGTCTCTATCAGAATAGTAAGCCTGGTCTTTTTTGTGATTTTGAGTTTTGTTCCACATTTTTTTCCCACTCTGTCCAGGATTCCCTACACTGATCCCTTTCCAAGTGGTTGACAGTGGTGGCCGGGCACCATCTAGTTCTTCTGGTCTCACGGTCCTATCGGCTGAGGTTCACATGTCCACTAGTCCTTGGACTAATTGTTTCCATGTGTCTTTGGTTTTCTTCATCCTTTTTTGCTCCAGTGAGGAGAGACCAATCGTTGCATCTTAGATGACTGCTTGCAAGCTTTTAAGACCTCAGTTGCTACTCACAAAAGTAGGATGCAGAACAATGCTGTTGTGTAGCATGTTATGCCAGTTGAGCTTGATGTCTCCTGTGGCCATGGTCCTGGGCCAATGGGCCCAACAACTTGCTCCCTCAGGATGGCTGGCTTCCAGAAAACTGGAAGTGAACTTGAGCTTCCAGAGTGCCGCCTGCTCTCATTGCTCCTGTACATCAGATTAGGAACATATTAGGTGTCCTACCCATGGCCCCCCAAGGAGCTCTGATAGCCTAAGCCAACTTCTTAAGTTACCGTAACTTTGCCCCCTGTCAGAGACCATCTCTTAATATTCACTCCCTGCAAGTGGCTCTCAGATCCAACTCTGTGCCTATGACAAGGTCACCATGATGGCTAAAGCCTGCTGTCTCTGATACATATGGGAAGAAATGGTTTAAAACACATTTTCAAGCCACCCAATGTTTGTTCTGGTTGTGGTTGTTTTTGAGTGGGGTGTAGAAACAGTAGAAAAAGAAGGAGGAGAGGCTCAAGATAGGAAGCCACTGCACTGTTAAAACAGTAAGACCACTGTTTCAAGTTAACATACAAGATGCATTCCAACAGTTTAACTTTATTCAATCAATACAACATGATCTCAGAGCTTAAGCTGCCTCAATAAGGCTAGGTCTCTGGGGGTGGTATTTGGCTTGAGCCATCAGCTAATTATATCAACTTTCCAGTTAGCTTAGACTGTGGAGGGTCAGAGGAACCAGCTCTGTCTGTCATGAACCTCTCATGGAACCACCCAGGAACAGCTGCTGGGACTTTACAAATCTAGTACCATTTTCTCATGTTACACATGGGAAAACGAGGCCCTGGAAGAGAAAGGGACATGCCTGTCACCAGTGAGTCTGTGGCAGCGTCAGATGTCTGATTCTTTTCCAACACACCCTCAGCCCAGCTTCTCAGTGGAAGAGGGCTGAAGGGGTCTGCTCTGTGGGCCTAATGCAGCAAGAGGCCTGCGATCAGACTGTCAGAACCAGGACGGAAACTCAGCTGAGAGAAGGATAGTGACTCACCATAGGGACAAAACTAGAACTTGGGTTTCTTTCTTGCCTCTCTGCCTCCTAATAGAAACTTCCGCCAATGGAATATAAGAGGAACAATATGTGGTGGCATGGCCAGTCCAGGCAAATAGATCAAGTTAATAACTTTAAATACAAATAATTTTAACAAATGATTGGATAGAAGCTGGTTTCCCTAACATGGTCTCAAGGAGTCCCTGGGTGGGGCTAATGGTTAAGGATTCAGCTACTAACTGAAAGGTTGGTGGTTCAAGTCCACCTAGAAGTGCCTCAGAAGAAAGGCCTGGCAATGCACTGTTGAAAAACCAGCCACACCCATGGGGTCACTGTGAGCTGGAGTTGACTTATAGCAATAGGTGCTGGTAACCCAGTCTCACCTTCCATGAACTGCCCTATTTCTGGTGAGACCAGCCTAGGATAGGACCGTAGGAAGACGCAGCCTTAGAGTGAACACTGAGGCTGCAGGATGGGGCAGGGGAGGGGTGGGGGTGTATTCAGACAACCTGCACCGTACTCAGTAATTCCACGACCCCTTCTTTGGTGAGGAAGACCACCTCACTGGTGTTCTGGCACCAAACCTCGAAATGTGAAGGGTCCTCCAGAGCCCTCTTGCCAGCGATTATCACAAAGGGGTAGCCAAGCTTGTTGGCATCTTTCAGTCTGTTTCCAATGGTCAGATGAGTCCTGTCATCCAGCAGGACCTCGCCGTGAAGCTGTGGCAGCGCCTCAGCGATGTGGTCATGCAGGCTCCCCAGGAGCTCCGTGGCGCCCTCCTCCTTGCTGCCTCTCTTAGGTGGGATGAGGCAGACTTGGTAAGGGGCCAGGAGGCCGGGCCAGCGAATGCAGTCTTCTGTAGAGAGCACTTCAATTGCAGCAGCCAAGATTCGCGTCACACCCAAGCCATAGCACCCCATTTCAGCCAGCGATGGTTTGCCATGGACGTTGGTAAACTGGGCATTGAAAATGGAAGAGTACTTGGTGCCCAGGTAAAACGTGTGCCCCACCTCAATGCCTTTGGTTTTGGTCAGTGGTCCCTGGCACACAGGGCAATTCATTTGTGACAGGTCTAGTGTCTCCATGTTGGCTGAGAAGCTGCAGCTGGGACAGATTGCAAGCTGGTCCTCGCCAACATCCACTGGTAGCTGGAACTCATGAGACATCATGCCCCCGATGCTGCCCACGTCCGCTTGGACCTTGACGAATGGCAGCCCCAGCCTGTTAAACAGGCTACAGTAGGCACCACACACCAGGCTGTAGGTGTGCCAGGCGGCCTCTGTGGAGGAGTCAAAGGTATACATGTCTTTCATGTAAAACTCTCGGCCACGGAGAAGACCAAACCGGGGCCTGGGCTCATCCCGAAACTTCCTTGTTACCTGGTACAGCAGGAACGGAAGCTGCTTGTAGGACAATGTCTTCTGGGAGGCTACAAGAGCCGTGACCGCTTCCTCGTGAGTTGGTCCTAAGCAGTATTCCTTGCCATGTCTGTCTCTAAGTCTTAGTAGCTCCTTACCCATCAGGTCCCACCGGTTGGTAGCTCGCCAGAGCTCTGCTGAGCTGAGGCTGGGCATATTGACCTTCTGTCCCCCGATGGCCTGCATCTCCTGGTCTATCACCCGCACGAGCTTCTCCATGGCACGCACAGTATAAGGCAGAAGGTGGTAACAGCCGGGGCTTGCTGGGTGGATCAGGCCCACCTGAAGCATCAGCCGCTGGCTTTTACAAGTCAACTCGCCAGATCTGCCCTCCAGGGATAGTACCTGGTCTTCCCGCAGGTTCTGTGGCTGGAACATGCGGGACAGCACTAAGCGCTTCCTTCTCCCTGAGGCACAGTGGTGAAGCCCGCAGGGAATGGACCCGGAGAGCTGAAGCCTGCAGGTGGCCTGGGCAGGCAATGTTCTCCATCTTGTCAGCAGCCCTTCCATGACAGCCCGGCACAGGGAAGCACTCATGCCTGCAGAGAAAGGAGTTACACAAAAGTCAGCATTAAATGTGTACCAACACCATGAGGTCACCAGCTAAGTCTAGTCTCCAGCAACTTCTTAAACAGCCACTGACTTTGCAGTGGCTAATCCTTTCACTTCTAATATCCTAGCAGACCAGAGTTCTACTTTTGTTACCTCTGATTGCCATTTTTAAAAATCAGTATTTTCCCAATTATGAAAAAATAACATACCATTGACAGACACTACTGCATAGTGCTTAAGAGTGCAGGCTCTGAAAGCAGGCAGCCTAGATTTCATCAGCTTCCCCTGGTCTGTACCCCATGTGGACTGGGACATGTGACTTAGCCCCTCTAGCCTCACTTTCTTCATTTGTAAAGGGTAATAACACAGCATCTACCTTGTAGGTTTATTATGGGAATTAGAAGAGTTGGGAAAAGTTCTTGGAACAGGATCTGGTACCTACCATGAGCTCAGTATTTGTTATTAGTATTGCAAACTGGGGGGAAAGGAGAAGCAAATAAAAAAGACTAACCATAATCCCTCTGCCCAGAGACAACCACCGCTGACATTTTGTTACATCCCTGTATGTTTTGCAGGCCCTTGTCCTTTGCCCAGGAATCCTTAGGTGACACAAATTGTTAAATGTTCAGTTACTAACTAAAAGGTTTGTGGTTCAAATCCACCCAGAGGGGCTTCAGAAGGCCCGGCAATCTACTTCTGAAAAATCAGCCATGCAAATCCTATGGAGCATGGTTCTACTCTGCACATGTGAGGTGGAAATGGCTTGACGACAAGTGTCTTCTCCTTTGCCCAGCCCTTAACGACTATGTCCCTCTTCCCTCCTCACAGTTCACACATTCCCTGGTCAGGCTGATGACTCTGAGTCAACATCTTCACTCTAAGTGTCTCTTGAGCTTCAGGTGTACATATCCAACTGCCTCCTGGAGAACACCTCACACAGGTACTTCAGTGTCCCCAGAATGAATGCAGCCTCCTTCCCAGAACCCCCCCTCCCACATTCATCAGCCCACTCAGCCCTGTCATTCCTACCTCTTCAACTGCTGCTGAGTCTGTCCCTTTCTCTCCACTGCCACAGCACACTCCCAGGTCCAGGCCATCAGCATCTCTTACCTGAGCTATTGCAGCAGCCTCTTCACTGATCTGGTTTCCATTCTTGCCTGCACCAATCCACTCTCCACACTGAAGCCATAGGAGATACTTGCAAAACACTTCCAGCAATAGGCTGCTATTTTTTCCTATTAATTAATCCTCCGATGGTTTCCTAATTCCCTTAGAAAAAGACCTAAATTGCTGACATTCACAGTGTACCCGGCCCCATGTGAGGTGGCCGCTGCGGCCCTCTGGCCTCATCTCTCGTCATTGCTCTGTGTTCCTGCTGCACCAGACTCACTGCTAAACAAACACACTGTCCCCTCTGCACAGAACACTCCCCTCCCCTTTGCCTACTGACATCTATTCATCCACTAGGCCTTGGGATTACCATCCTATCACCCAGAAAGCCTTCCTTGACCCCTCTCTATACCCCCAATTCTGGCTTCTCCTGCAGCAGCCCACTCGTCCCTCCCCTGAGATTACTGCTCAGTTGGCTGCCTATTTTCTCCTAGATACTTAGCTCTGTGCAGGCAAAGAAACACATTTAACTTGCTCCCCACTGTATCTTCAGCACACAGCTGGAGTTTACTCAAACCAAACTCACTGCCATCAAGTTGATTCCAACTCATAGAGACTCCCCTCTTTAGATTTCCAAGGCTATAAATCTTGAAGTAGATTCCCCAGTCTTCCTTCCATGGAGTGGCTGGTGGGTTTGAACCGGCAACCTTCTGGTTAGCAGTCAAATACCTTAGGCACTACAGAGTTTACTAGACATTGTTTTTTTCATAATTTTACAATACATTCACACACTTCTAATAGTAGCGTAACAGTCCACTGATAAGAAATAATCCCCCTACCACTGGAGAGGTGTCAAGTGTTTTTAAGAGGAACACTCACGGGTGGTGCAAATGGTTAAGTGGTTGGCTACTAAGTGAAAGGCTGGTGGCTCGATTCTACCCAGAGGCACCTTGGAAGAAAGGCCTGGTGATCTACTTCTGAAAATTCAAGCAATAAAAACGCTATGGAACACAATTCTCTTTGACACACAGAGGGTTGCCTTGAGTCAGAAGTGACCCAACAGCAACTGGTTAAGATGAGCACAATGCTTTTATCATAAATATACAGATTTTTATATACTTGGGAGAGATTTATAGGAATGGAATTAGAGTCAAAGGCTATGAACTCTTTCATGGTTCTTATAAATATAGTGCATACTTCTCAGCATATCCCATAGAGGAAAGCTCTATGGGTTTCTGACTTCTCTCAGCTGATGATGGATTGCTGATTCCTCTCAGCTTTGGGAAGCTGGAATCCTCAGGTGGTTACTGCCAGCTTTTAGCAGCCTCCAGTCCTCCAGCTGGTCACCTCCAACCTCAAGCAGCCTCATCCATTTCCCCTGTGCACTGCACAAGTATTATCATTTCCTATGTGGTCTATGACTTGGAAAAGGTTGGGAGGCACTGCCTAGTGTGAAGGAAGGTGTGGAAAAGTATAGGCTTTGGTGACAAGGCACATGTGGGTCTACATTTGGTCCCATCACTTATTGTACTACTGCCTCAGGCCAGTGGCCCAAGCTAGAAACTTCTTCACCCTGAACTTCTCATTTCCTAAAGCAAAGGAGCCGTCTTGAAGATCTCTCAGGTTGGCCCACTCCTTTCCAGCCCTTACTGCCTCAACTTTGGGTTATCCCCTCAATACAGTTTGTTGCCTTACAGTAGCCCATGGTTCGCAAACTTTAGCAAGCACCAGAATCACCTGGAGCACTTGTTAGAACAGTGCTGAGCCCCACCCCCAGTTTGTAACACGGCATGTTTGTGATGTAGGCCAAGAATGTGCATTTCTCACAAAACACTGTTCCACCTCCTACTTTGATGAGTAGCGACCGGGATCTTAAAAGCTTGCAAGCAGCCATCTAGATCCAACGATGGGTCTCTCATTGTCCAGAGCCAAGAATAAGGAAGAAAACCAAAGATTCATGGAAACAATTAGTCCTAGTGGCTGGTACACCATGCGATCTGCAGCCTATACAACTATGAGACCAGAAGAACTAGATGGTGCCCGGCTACCACTGTCATCCACTCTGAAGGGGATCTATGTAGGAGATCCTGGATAGAGAGGGAGAACAATGTGGAACAAAACTCAAAATCATTTGGGGAAAAAAAAAAGGGGGGGGGGGGGACCAGGTTTGCTGGTCTGAAAGAGCCTGGTGGAACCACTGAGACTATGGCCCCTAGCTGCCCTTCAGGTCTGGAACTGAACCCACACCTGTGGCTTCTAGCCAATCAAAAGACAAGCTTATGAGTTGAACATTTACCTAGGTAGATACACTCCTTGGAGAGAACAATCACTGAAGAAAGAAGGGCTGTTTATGCACAGGAAGACAGCTCAGGGGGCAGGAGTGCATGGAGGGATGGACAATGGACACGGGGAAGAGGTAACTATTGGGAGGAAGGGGGAGTGGAGCTGTTGAATTGGGGTAAATAAATTGTAGTCAGTGAACTGCTGTATCGAAAGTGAATTTGCTCTGTAAACTTTCACCCAAATCACAATAAATAAACCCATTGCCACTGAGCTGATTCCGACTCATAGCAACCCTAAAGGATAGAGTAGAACTGCCTCATAGGGTTTTCAAGGCTGTAAATCTTTATGGAAACTGACTATCTCATCTCTGTCCTGAGAGCAGCTGGTGGGTTCAAATCATTGGCCTTTTGGTTAGCAGCTGAATGCCTTAACCACTACACTGCCAGTTCTCCCTTGTTGTTGTTGTTATGTGCCGTCGAGTCAAACTCGACTCACAGCGACCCCTCCTTGGGTTTCCGAGGCAGTACCACTATGGAAGTAGGATTGCCCAACCTTCCTTCCGAGGAGTGGCTGGTGGGTTTGAACCGCCAGCCGTCTGGTTAGCAGGCAAGTGTCTTAGCCACTATGCTACCAGAGCTCCCAGTTCTCCCTTAGGACAGCTAAAAAGATAGCTGATTCAATCAGTCTCCTGCTTATAATCCATCATTGGTTCTCCACATCCTAATTTCCTCAGAAAGGCACCTACCAAAAAAACAACAAAACCCACTGCCATCAAGTCAACTGCGACCCACAGCAACCCCCACTGGGTTTCTGAGATGGTATATCTTTACAAAAGTAGACTGCCCAGTCTTCCTTTCACGGAGTGGCTGGTGGATTTGAACCACCAACCTTTTGGTTAGCAGTCAAATACCTTAGGCACTATGCCACTAGAGCTCCTAGAATGGCACCTAAGCCTCTTCGTATTTTGATCTCAGCACACTTTCAGCTTCTTACGCTACCATTCCCCTATAATGTCCCAAATTGCTTGTCATTCCCAGAATAGGCTGACTTTGCCTAAGCTAACTCCTTTCCTTAATTTCCACAACTCCAACCCATCATTCAAAGTTCACTTATTCTAAGTGGCCTTCCCTAACCTCTCTAAGCAGAGATAGTCACTTCCTTCTCTGTGCTCTCACTGCACACACTTCTTTACAGTATTTATAATACTGTGATGGCATAATTTTTTTAAATGGTTTTGTGAAACTGTTGTGTGCCAATCACTGGGCGTGAAAGGTATTTTGTGTGCTATTCCTCCATGAAACTGGGTTCATGAGGTTTCTTACATTTTCAGGTTTCGGGGCCCAGCTCAATGCCTAATATCTAGCCAAATATTAATATTTTTTGATCAAATATATTACTATATGCCAAGAAAAGTGAAAGGATACGAGATAATTATCTGGATAATTTAAGTAGGAACCTTAAACCCTCCCCTACCCAGGCCCCTTGAGCTTATTACACAAACCTGTGAATAATTAATATTATTTCAATTTTTCAAGATTATCCACAGATAATCACTCCAAAGTAATATAGTAACTAACCTAT